ATTTCTCGAGAGAAGTGCGAGCAATTTTCTTCTTTGTTTTTTTTTAAATTTTATTTTATTAGCAGTGAGAATACATTTCTGTGAGCTAATTTTCTGACTTTGGTGCAGTTTTCGGCGCCTCTTAAAGCGCGATGAGAACTCGCGACGAAAAGCGTGATTGAAAAGTAAATTTTACTCTATATCTCACAATCTCTCCATTTTTCTATAAAAAATTGAACAAAAATCCTGCACATAATCAATTTTGCCTTCGTCTCGCGTTACTTCCAAACAGTCGTATTCAGTGAAAATGTGGAAAAGCAAATTTTTCTAATTTTTCGACGTCAAATGAAAGAAGCGCGATCGTTTGGCACTTTTCGCTCAGATTTCTGCAATAATCCGTGGCACTCGGTTAACCATCGATTAGATCTGCTGGCCATTTGGCTAATTAAAAAATTTCTGTTCTTCAGCTCTGAATGGAAAAAAATTCGAACGAAAGAATCGCGTGATCGATGATCATCGTGAAATCAGACACGCTTGTTAACGAATGTCCGATCAACATCATTGTGTCGCGTGCATTGTGATCGCAGGTTGTCACCAAACACGCGGAAAGTGTCTTTAGTAAGCTTTCTGTGTTTTCGTGGTGTAACGTAAAATCTGATCGATCGTTGTTGATTATGCCTACATTCGAAAGCTAATCGGTATTTCTTTTTTTGATCGAAAATCGTCAATTTCCACGACTTTCACATCGTTCGAAACCTGAAATGTTTCACGAAAGAAACATGAAAGAAACATTCTTACAATGTCGTTTTGCAACGTGTTAGATTATCGATTGTGAGCAGAAACGTGTTCGAGATTTATGGTTGCGGAGGTGTGTATATGTCCGCCATTGCTGTAGAATTGTTAGCATACTCACGTGTTACGAGCGTTTCAATGGAACTACGAACAATTTTATTACGCTAAATAGTGTTTAATAGTGTGTACTTGGAGCAAAGACTCGTTAAAGTTGGTTTGAAATATTCTTCCCTCGGGATGAAGTACTCGTGTGAGGTGTAATTTAAGGAATATTCAGAATTGAAGTGTCTTTTTTATCTGTCCTCTGTTACAACAGCTTTCGTTGACTAATTTGCTCTTTATAATCTGTTGAAAATTTGTTTTTAACGTATTTCGTGCAGCGTGTATACTGGGTGACACAGAAATAAGTGACACAAAAAGTGTTCATATCTGAGAAAGGAAGAGTTTCTAGATTTAGCTATGTTTATCTGATCTTTTTTCATTCTTAGGAAGAGAATGTGGTAACGAAGTTTGGCTACGTATTTTAGCGTCACTCGGTATGTAGGATCAGCGATACACGAGAATTTTTAGTACGAAAAAGTGAAACTTTTGTTGAACGAATAAGAATATTCTTCGATTCGATGCTTCGACCAAATAGATACAAAGGAAAATTATATTCTTGGCAATTCAACATTGTGAATATTTATGTGACATTTTAAACTTCAAATTAAATCTTGCAATTTTTCTGTGACACGAGAAATTTCTAGAGTGTGAACCATGTTTCGGACAATTCCATTCGTCAACGCCGAAATTCCATTAGAGTCTCTTCATTTTTTAAAATGAAAGTATGAACCATATTTCAAGCAATTTAAGGTAATAAATTACAAGATGGTATTTCAATTATAAATTCTTCTTGTAACTGAATTAGTTACGGGGGGTTCGGACTGGCCGCAAATAAGTCCCAGTAGCTTAGACTCGCTTTGACCCGGTGTTCAGGGAGCGAAAAAACGTATGGAGCAAGAGTTGCCTCGTGGTCCGCATATGTCCACTCAAGGGAGCAAGGTCGGTGCCAGGCAGGGTTCGCTGTTCTTTAGATGTCCACTCAAGGGAGTGTCTTCGGAGTAGCGAACCGTCTTGTCCATAAAAGTTATGGGTCAGGCACCTTTTTATCTTCGCGGGGGTGCTTTGGGTCAGCGAGAGTGGTGGAGTGGGGGAGTCAATCGCGCAGGCGCACAAGGGTGGTATTGGCAGCTGGGGTGCAGCAAGGCAAGGTGACGAGGGCGCTACTCTGGTGGCCGCTCGGTGCACTACCTTCCTCACGCAGTATGCTACACTTTATTTTTAGACGCGAAGAAGACACGTCGCTACGCAATTAACGAGAGATCGACAAGACGCTAAAAAGAAAAAAAACAGCGTCATCCGTACTAAACAGATCGTTGCTATGTTATTCTTTAGTATATGTTTCTATCAATTTGTCTCGGTATGCTGATCATTTTTGCTGTTACCACTACACACACACACTCATTCCTCCTAATAATCCAACAGTTATCTATATAATACGAAGAAGGTTCAAGTGAAACGGAAAGTATGGTCGTTCTAGCGCAGGTTCGCGAGACAACGCGTTACATTATGCTTATTAAAACCGTGACTTCGCACGAGACGAGATCTTACGTTTGCGTAACACTTGTAATATATGCGTCTGATGAGTTCAAGATCAAGATCGTTCATTCAGAGGAAGAATTTTTTTTCTCAGACTAAAATCGTACACGCTATCTCTCTATCTAAAGAAAAAAACGGACCTGTTCTGCAACTAAAGTTACCTCTGCAAAATTTGAAGAACGAGTGTAAGACTAACGAATTACAGGGCTTAAAATAACTGATGTTAAAATAACGTAGGTTCGCCCGTCGATGACTATGTGCAATATTGTGCGGGCCGCTGCCCTTTTCCCCCGTTTTTATACGCTTCTTCGGCCGTTGGGACCCTGCAGGCCGCGGGGTAGGGGGTGCAGCCTGCGCTCATCCTTGTCTAGGGCCCCCTGCGGCTCGGGTCCTGCGGTCGTTGTCTAGGCGCGTCGCACAGCGCCTTACAGGACATTTCAAAGACATGCTGAACTTGTTTTTTTTTTCTGTACTTTCATAATACCAAAACAAAAATATAGCATTCCACTTGAAAAACACCAGATGATCTTAGTGTGACCTTGAAAAATTGAAAGTAAAAATTTTCTTTTTCACAGTGACATTCTACATGAAAAATGATACTAAAAATCTGTTTACATTTTTGTCCTATCACCTACCGTTCAGTAGTGGTATCAAATAGCATTTATCGTGGGGCATCCTGTATATGTATACCTATTATTCCTCGATAGAGGTGGAATCAGATCTTGACACGGTGTCAGTGTCGAAAGTTCTTCGAGAGCAGGGTCTTTATAACGTGTTTCAGATCTGTCAACAAATAATTATCTCCCACAAATCTCATTTTATGAACGGCGTCTGCACTGGCACGAAGCTTTGGAAAATCATGTGTTTCAGATACTCAAAAGATGTGATTATGAATTTTCATAACAATTATTAATGGACAGATTAAAAATTCTAATGCTCTTCTTCAATTACATCAGCAGTAGCAGATTTTATTTAACTTCTTTTTATTCAGCTCTCTTAATTTTTTCATAAATCTCACCGAACTCTTCAGATCCACCTTGGAATTGTTTGTAAAAAATTAAGCGCGTCTCGAAGAAATGCACTCTTTAGTCAGTTTTCAATATTTCATCACGAAGTCGCATTCGCTCGAACTGGAAATATAGATTTGTCTTTCTTAAACACTCGTACTTGTTGACATCGAAGATATAGATTAAATTTTCTCACCGGTAAGTTTTATAGAAGTATTGTTCCAAATTTTAATTACTGCATGGAAGGTGCGGTTTAAACAGACCCCGCCACGGTGTGTTGTGGTCTAAATGATTAAAATTACACACGTTTCTTGGAAAACGAGCTGTTTAAAATTCTAGGAAACATTCTTGAAAGTGTAATTACCGCTATTTAAAACTAAATTACCGGTATTAATTCTGAATTTTGTAGTTATAATTAATATCATTTTCATAACAGGAAGACGAAATTTTTATGGAAATAAATTTTTCAGCATAGTGTTGCTTGTGAAACATTTAATTTAATTTACGTTAATATTAAGAGACATCCTTTTACTGCTGCTTTAATGAAATACTGATTACGTGCTAATATTGACATAGTTTAACTAGGCTTTATTAGGTTAATTTTACAAATCCTGGTTTTATTTAGTTTTATTATTTGAATTCCGTTAAGCATGCTGTTCGACGATACAATGGTCTCGATTCGAAATAACGGTTTAATTATATTAGCCTCGATTCTTTTGCTCATTATAATTTTGTACTGCTTCATGTATATTTGAACCATTTTAACATGTATGGTAACGAAGTTTGGCTACGTATTTTAGCGTCACTCGGTATGTAGGATCAGCGATACACGAGAATTTTTAGTACGAAAAAGTGAAACTTTTGTTGAACGAATAAGAATATTCTTCGATTCGATGCTTCGACCAAATAGATACAAAGGAAAATTATATTCTTGGCAATTCAACATTGTGAATATTTATGTGACATTTTAAACTTCAAATTAAATCTTGCAATTTTTCTGTGACACGAGAAATTTCTAGAGTGTGAACCATGTTTCGGACAATTCCATTCGTCAACGCCGAAATTCCATTAGAGTCTCTTCATTTTTTAAAATGAAAGTATGAACCATATTTCAAGCAATTCCATTCCTCATCACCGAAATTCCACCAGAGTCTCTTCATTTTTTAAACACACGAGAAATTTCCAAAGTGTAAAGTGTTAACTGTATTTCAGACAATTCCATTCTTCAACGCCGAAGATCCAACAGAGTCTCTTCATTTTCTAAACACACTAGAAACTTCCAGAGTGTCAACCATATTTCAGACAATTCCATTCTTCATCACCGAAATTCCATCAGCGAAGATTCATCAGAGTCACTCATTTTCCAAACACAAGTGAAATTCCCACAGTGTCAACCGTACTTCAGACAATTCCATTCTTCAACACTGAAATTCCATCAGCGAAGATCCATCAGAGTCACTCATTTTCTAAACACAAGTGAAATTCCCACAGTGTCAACCGTACTTCCAACAATTCCATTCTTCAACACCGAAATTCCATCGCAATCTCTCCATTTTCTAAACACTCGAACCCTTTCGATCGCAGGATGCTGCCTCTAATCCTGCTAGCAGGACTCTCCTGCGTCTCGACGACCGCGCAGATCCTCGAGACCGTGGCTCAATGGCCACTGTTAGACTTCGCTCTTCCCTTCGACCAAGAGTTCCTAAATCAGTATCGTCCGGAGAACGTGGTGCCAACTGGAATCGAAGTTACCTGGGACAAGGTCTTCGTGAGCATTCCAAGATTGCGCGCTGGCGTTCCGTCGACCTTGAACTACTTCCCGAGGAATATTCCACTGGAGAGTAGCCCGCAGCTTCAAGCGTATCCGTCCTGGGACTGGCACAGTGCCGGAAGAGGAGATTTGAACTGTTCCAAGCTGATCTCCGTCTATAGGACGAAATTGGACAGGTGTAATCGATTATGGGTTGTCGACAGCGGTATCATGACGTCGATCGATAACTTCACGCCTGTCTGCACGCCGAAAATAATGGTGTTCGACCTGAAAACCGATCAGCTGGTGCGGCAGTACGAGTTCCCGCGTGATGTGAGTCTCTAGCTTCCGTTTTTCTTAGAGTGTCCCTGTTTCAGATTTAATCGGGTCAGTTCAGCGTAATTGACAATAAAAAAGTTGCAAAATATAGTACAAAATAGATAGAAAGTCTTGATGAATCTGGGTTCAAAGATCATTAGCTTCAGTTACAGGAAATTTTCAACTATGAGCACTGTGCATATTGAACACATGCTATAGATCGTGGGTATCCAATCTTTTGGTTTGCCTGGGCCACACGAAATATAATATAGTTAATATACAAACGTAACGAAACCTTCTTAATTTTTTTACATTTATTATTACAATGCAAATGAGTCATGAAAAATATGAAATAAAAGTCACGTAATAATGTTAAAAGTTAAAAGTAGGCACGCCTACTATAGCTAGAAATAATACGTCACTGATGAAAATGCCTAAGTGAAATTCTTAAAGTCTCAGATCCCTTTCTTCTATCACTCTGTACACAAATTTCGCTGGATAAAGTTTACCTGTGTAAGAAATCGACGGAGGAGACATGACCTTGACCGACCAATATATTCGGCTCCTACTATAGGAAGCGCAGGACGGAACCCACTTCTCTCTCCTTCTCTTTCCTCTCGCTTCACGGTGTTTCTCCTTTCAACGTTACCGACAATGTTATCTACTCCAAGCAAGCATGAACGTTTCCTGAAAATACACGCATACAGTATTTCTAGAAAAATGAATAAAAGAATTGGCAGATGGCGTGAAATTGAGATTCGTTCGAAAGATACGTAGAAGTGAAATATCGTCTACTCTGCTTTACAGCCCGGTCAATTTATGGTAGAATTAATTAGAAAACCATTATAAACCAGTTCCTTTTTTAAATCCAGGCTCTGAGGCCCAACACATTACTGACGAATCTAATTATCGACGACACCTCTGCGACAACCTGCGACGACGTGTTCCTCTATATATCTGACACAGCAGGACCCGGTAATTGAGAACATTCAATTGTCTTTTCGTTGTTTTTATCACAGTATTATTATCAATCCTTTTTATCAAGGTCTTCTGGTGTTCGATGGCGCCACTGACAGGAGTTGGCGTGTGGTGCACGCGACGATGTATCCCGATCCAAATTTCTCCATGTACCGGGTAAGCTTCTATCGATTCTGTTTGCTACTTTCGTTCGTCGAGTCCGGGA